AGCTGGGTGAACTGGAGCATAGTGAGTGGGGGAAAGAATGGCTCTGGATGGGTCCAGAGAGGTGGTGGAGGGACATTTGGTTTGGGGTCCTGTAGTCCTCCGGAGGATCTTAGATGTATGTCATATATTGAGGAGGAGCCATTGGTGGTTTGTTTGTTTGTTTTTAGCAGATGGGAATGAGCTAATCATATTTGTTTCTAAAGAAAGTCATTTTGACTGCTCAATGGAAAGTGGATTAGAAGGTGGGGTAGCAAGACAAGAGAGGACCCAGGCAGTCCAGTTAGCAGGCAGTAGTTACAGTGGTCCAGGAAGGAGATAACGATGGTAGCCGTGATCTGAATGTCAGTGGCATAGGGAAAAGATGTCACATTTGAGCTGTTTACAGTCTAGAATTGATGAAATTCAGTGAATTAAATGGCTGTGGGAAGTAAGAGAGGACGGCGTCAAAAATGACTCCCAAGTAATGTGCCTTGCCCAAGGTCACATATATTATTATTACAAAGCAAGGACTCAAATGTGAAACTTGGTTCCTGTTCCATTATGCTTTCTAATATACGCATTTGCAGAAGGCCATGTAATGTATGCAAGAGGGGAGAACCTTCGTTGGTTTTACTAATGTAGCTGCTGTAATTTTCCAGCTGTCCAGACATCAAGACTCACCAGTCTACTGTGTAGATCTGATAGGGTTTAACTGAGAACCACAGGGTCTGGGCTGGATTGTGGGCATTCTACCATAAACATCTTTAAAATAGTAAAGATTCTACTTAAAAGCTGGACAAAAAGACAGAGCTGTTGGTGACACCTTTACATTCTATTCCTTTCACATTTTAGAGAAAAAAAAGTGACAATTTATGTTTCATTGGAATCATGACTTTTAGATACGCTGTATACATATGTAGTTTTGGAAGAGAGAGGTTTTTAAGCCCTGAAAATAAGCACTGATTTAGGGCATAAAGGAAATTGAGTCTGTTCCGCCTATTCTCCATGTGTTTTATTTGTTTGATTTCTGAGTGGATTTCTGATTTGGGAGTAATGCTGGATGATTTTAGAGTTAAAGATTCAAGCCTTTTACCCAACTGGTGGAAAGGAGAAAGAGTAGCAGGAAGCATGGTGGCATTTATAAGGTATAGATAAAACCAAGGTGTTATTTTCAAGCCAAATCAAATTTTACTCTCCTAATTATTTTTTAAACTACTTGTAAGACTGGATTATTCCATAGACTGGTACTCATTATGATCTAACAGTGAATCGTAGCAGAAGAATGATTTCTTAGCTGCAAGTTAGTTTTATTTTTCTCAAAGGACAGTATTTGTAGGAAAATGTGGTAGTGTGAATAGATTTGAATAAACTACTAAATTTTAAATTAAATTAAAAAGCTGTATTTAACATTATGGTTGAGATTTTACACATACAAAATGTCAGGAAATTCAAAATTATAGTTCCCACAACAGCAATAATTCAGCCAAATTGCACATATGTATTAAGGCATTAAAGTTAACACTCTGTGCAATCATGTAATAAACTACATATGCATAAGAAAGCAAGTTATGGCAGCTTTGGGAACCATCATTTTGCATTTCCTGACTTGTACATTCAAAATCCAAATTCAAATGTATATGAATATAATTGTGTTGAATTTCCATATGTACAAATAAAATCATAAATTGCTAACAGTTTGAAAGAAAATATGGAATGGCTTATGAGTTTTTAAATGTTTAGTTATTGTTATAATTAATAATAATTTTAGAAATAGAAAGCATTCTCAAAGAAACCTCTAGGCAAAAAAAAAAGAAATCATAATTTTTAAGTTACCATATCTGAATTTTAAAGGACATAAGTGGAAAAAATTTAATGACAGGTTTTATTTTATTGTTTTTAATTAGAGAAGGATTATATCCGTATCGAAAAAAAATAAAAACAAACTTGAAAAATGTGTAAAAGGAAAAATAATCTCCTTCCTTCCCTTCTATTTCCACCATTCCTGAGACAACCACTATGGGCTGCATAGTATATAACCTTGCACAGTTTTCTTCTTGTTACTACCTCATAAACATCTATATAGGAATTGGGGGGGAGGGTTACAAAAATAGAATCATACTACATATGCTACTGTGCACCTTGCTTTGGACATCCCTTTAGGTCAGTGGATAAATTAATTCTCGTTATCAGCTGCCTAATATTCCATGGTGTAAATATACTGCATGTTATTCAGTCTTCCCTTTTGGTAGATATCCAAGTAGTATCTTGTTTTTTGCTGCTTCAGCAATACTGCAGTAGAAATTCTTGAAATACATGCTTATATTAGTGCTTTATTGATATGCAATAGCTCCCCCAAAATGAGATTGCTAGTGTAACAGCTAGGGATAATTTTAACTTTAAAATAATGCCAAGATTTTCCCCCAAAGGTTATAGCAATTCACATACTCACCAGAAAAGTCTGAATGTGCTAATTTTTGCTAACTTAAATGGTTAAAAATTTTGTTTTGTGGTTGCTTTAAATTTTAATTATTTATGTTATCTTTTATGTTTTAACAAACACTGTGTGTCAGGCACTGTTAAAAGCACCAATATTTACTCATTAGGTCCTCAAAATTATTCTGTGAGATGTGTATTGTTAGTATCCCTATTTTACGTATAGGGAAACTGAGTTGTGAGTTGCAGAGAAGTTGAGTTACTTGACCACAGTTACACAGATAATAAATAGTGGAATCGGTAGTTGAACCTAGGCAATCTGTATTCAGAGTCTCTACTCTTTAATTATTTTTCTATAATACTTGTATTAGTGAGATTGAATATATTTTTGAGTTTTTCTTTATTTGTTATTAGTAAGCAGTCTTTATATAATTGTTTGACCAAGTGTTGAAGATGTTTTCTTCTACTCTATTACTAGACTTTTCACTTTGTTTTTTCATCTTAAAAACTCTTATTTCCTTTTAATTTTTAGATGATCAAATGTATCTATATTGATTTTGGTTTTTAAATACTTTCAAGAAACATGGAGGTTTCTATAAAATAATCACAATTATTAAATTGTTTGCAGCAGCAATTCATAATTATCGCCATATATTATTATTTTACTCCTAAAGTTACTTTATAGTAAATGAGTTTTGAGAATTCCTTGGCATTTCAAGTTCTCGGATATTTATTAAGTACCTATTATGTGGTAAGCATAATTCTAACAGTTCTGCCCTCTTTCCTGTATCATCAGCATTTTGCTCTTCACTATTTTGCCGTCAACATACAAGCATGCTTTTTTCCCCTCCCTTTTTAAACAAAACCTTCTCTTAACCCTACTTCTTTTACCTACTACCACTCCCATTTAAACAACTCAGATATACCTTCTCAGAGAGGCCTGTGCAGACTGCTCTATATAGAATTGCATACCACTCACTCCTAGTATTCCTGATTTTACTCTGCTCATTATTTCATTTGAAGCACTTTTCACCTTCTGACATTGTGATGAGTATTGTTTATTTTTTTTCTCACTCGAATCTAAGCTACATGAGGACAGAATCTCACTAGCACATAGTAGGCTTTCAGTAAATATATTTTAAGTGAGTAAATGAATGCATTAATGCTAAATAGTGGGGAAGCAAAAAACAAATAAGATATTATCCCAGCACTTAAGTAGCTTATGGGAGAGACAGATTCATTTCAATATAATGTGGCAAATTCTGTGGTAGAGACATCCTTGAAAATTTCAATAGGAAGGGAAGCAACTAAAAGAAGTTAGCTTAAGTGACGTTCTCCCTCAGGCACAATTTGAAAACCATTGAACTGCACATCCATTTTTGTTGCTGTTATATCTATATAATATACATGTGTGCACATATGTATCAGTATGTAAAATCTTAGTAAAATAGGTTTCTGCAGAAATTTAACCTGATATATAACCTGATATATAATCAGTCCTTTAGTATAAAAATTTATAATCAGATTAATCTTTACTTTTCTCTTGTTTACACAGTAATCTGTAATATGTGGTATATCCTATGAATAAATCACCATATTTTTATATTTAAACATACCAATAATCTTTAATGTACTGTTCTTTTTCTCTGAACAGAGCATGTGACCATCTGCGTTGTACAGCATGTGATTTCTGGGTAGTAAGCTACGATGACTATATGTGGGACAAAACATGCGATTATCTGTTTTTCAGGTATGTTTCTAGACAATTTCACTCTAAGAAATGTATCAAGTACAACTTTATAGTTCTTATTTTGCTATGGTGTATCTTGGTGAACTTGGCCAGATTTTGTGGCCTCTACCTCTTCAATACTTTTCTCATCCATCTCCTTTCTATCTGTCTGCTGTCAGCCTAGATAAGGACATGTTACTTCTGGGAAGCAGTACAGAAACAGCCTCCTCACTGATTTTTCTGCTTACTGTCTGTTCTTTCAGACCACCCTTTCCTTGATGAGAATTAAAGCATAACTATGAGGATGCTATTCTCCTGCCCAAAACCTTTCTGCTTACAGATTCGTGTCCAAATTCCTTAGTATGGCATTCAAGACCCTCTACAATCCAGCTCCTATCTATCTGTCATCCAGCTTTGTCATTCCACAATACACTTTTCACCTTCACAAGATTTTACCTACGTCAAATTACTCAATAGTCCCATTCCCTGTGACTTTGTACGGCTCTCTACCTCCTGGGACACCTTCCCATCATTTTATCTACCTAAACCCTACCTATCCTTCAGGGTACAATACATTACACATCTTCCATGATTCCTTCACCATTCTCAACTTAGAAGTAAATTCATTCTTTTCTATTTGTCCACAACACTTCATACTTATTACAGCACTCAGTGTAGTATAAGATTGAAAATTGGTATATATGTCTGCCTCCTTCCTTGTGGTCAGGATATTTTTGCAGTTTGTACATTCTTATACACTTATTGAATACCTAATGTTTTTAAGATGTTGTAAGTTATAAAAATATACTTATAAACTATGCACTCACATTTTTAAATAACAATTTAGAGCTAAATATTAATTACACATATCTCATACATTTTTGGCTCCCCAAACCTGTGCCTAGACAAAGACTATATTTTCAGATACAAGCAATCAGAATATATTATAGCACTCTCAGTAGTATAAAAAAAAGGGTGAGTCTTTATACCCCTTCTGGGAGCCATTCTTGTGTAAATCCGTAGGAGTCTCCTCTATTTAATAGTTTTTAAACTTTTTCACATCAAGAACCACTTTGAAAATCTTATTGAAAACTCTGAATCTTCTTCACACACATGTTCCAAAATTGAAAGTGCAAATACATGGAAAAATTACAATTTAAGAGGTTTCACAGTCCCCAATTCAAATGAAGCATAATGTCGTCCCAAAATCCCAGGTCAGGTTAGCTTACTTTAATCCTATAGTTGGAAAAGTTAACTTTTAATTTCAGGTCTCTTTTGCCTTTTCAGACTTTTCTAAATCCTCTGCTAGATACTGTCTGAAGGTTAATCTAATGAGTGATTAATAATTTCCATATGTCACCAAGGTAAACCATCAATTTAATATAAAACTAGTATAGAATAATAGAATGCATGTAATATCAAAATAGGCAAGCCACAGGCACTAAGTAAATGTATTGGCGATTTAGTTAGTATTTGAGGAACTTGCAGTATCTCAGAGTTATTAAGAATATTGATTGGTTTACTCTAGATCTGTGATATCCTGATTTAAAAAAATATATACTTTTAGGCACTCAATTTTTATCAAGCTGCCCACTTGGACTTTCTACCAAGGATACTTTACTCTGCCACTTTACTTAAAAAAATCACTTCTGTTAGTTCGCTAAAAATATTTGTAAAAAATACATACTTTTAGATTAAATAGTGAGAACTAGAAAATGTATTATACTATTAAAAATAAATAACAATATGTTATTTTTCTACAATATACTAAATAATATTTTTTAAAAGGAAATAATAAGTAGTTATTTTTACCAGAAAATATATTATCTTAGCCTTTAAGATACTTAGGAATATTTGAGATTTGAACTAATGAAAGAAAATGCTGTCACCATCATCAGGAAATAAATCATTGATATATTTTTTATTTTATAGAGTTTATTAGCATTTCTTTATCAAACAGACATTATCAGCACCTAGTCTGTGTCATTCCTAGTTAACTGGGCTCACAAAATGAATAGGACCCAGTTTCAACTCTCAAGTAATGCAGTTTTGAGAAGATGTGATATCATGTAATAGATGTGACAGAGGAGATAGGTTAAAAGAGGAATGTCACAGGACCTTGAGGTATCAGAGAAAGCCTCAGAGTCTTAAAGAATAATTAGGGGTTTGCCTAGCAAACAATATGGACACTGGTATTCTTCTAGGAGGTATTTTTAAAAATACAGGTGAAATCCATGGCATGTTTGGGGACTTACAACTAGTCTGGACTATGGAAAATGTTGGATAGGGCAAGAGATGGCAAGAGGTGAGTGAAGTAGAAGAGAGAGATCAAAAAGAGCAGAGCTAGGAAAGCAATACTGAGGAATTTCGGCTTAATTTTTTCTGCAGTGTGGATAACCACTACAGGCTTTTAATCAAGAGAGAGATCCAAATAGAGACGAATTTTTTAAAGAAAACTAACTACTGTATGAGAACCAGGCCAGTGTAGAATCATGGGGATTATTGAAGGATGTTATGATAATCCACTGGGAAAGAATAAAGATCTGAATTATGGCAGTAGATGAAGAGTAGGTGTATTTGAGTGATATTTTAGAGGTAGTCCTAGCTGTGAAAGGTGAGAGACAAACGTCATCTAGGATGAGTCCTAGGTTTCTGTCTTGGTTTATGTAGATGGGCAATGATACTGTCCATTGATAAAGGTAATTTATGAACAGATTTGAAAGAAGAGGCTATAAGTTCATTTATGGGAGCTATTGAAACTGCGGCTCTGAAGTTCTGGAAGGAAATGTAATCTGTAACATAGTTGTTGAAACCATGAGATTGGATGGTATGACCCAGGAAGGCAACGTGGAAGCATGTCAGTGAATGCAGAATTAAGGGTCATTTAGTTAAGATAGGTGCTTTGATGTTTACATTGTCAGGGGTAGTAGAGACATATGAAGGGTGAGGGGGGATGTGAATAACAAGGTCCTGGAGGCTCTGGGGCCTGGAGTGCTGATGGAAAGTGAGCTTCAGCTAAGAAGAGGAGGTTCACCCTCTGTGATGGAGTGGAAGGAGGTAAGATACTGATGTGTTCATGGGAAAAGCTAGGAGATGGAAGCCTTTTCACATCTGATGCCCTGGCTTTATGTTTGAGGATGTGGTCTGCTGAAAGTAAAGAAGTGGAAGGTAAATGAAACAAACACTTGAGGAGGATAGGGAAAAATCACTGAGGGAAACCAGAAATAGGTGGTGACTGAAAGAAAGTTAAAAGGTTTACAGAGTGCCATCAAATGCCCGGCGGAACATGGGGAGTCATTTATTTTTAATTGTTATCAATCTGCTCATTAGTTACCGTGAAACAGCATGCTATTGTTTGTTTTATTGTCTTTATTTTATAAATGAGGGAAATAAGTGTATCCTAGTTTTGAGAAGTTCTAGGACTTTCTAAAGAAGCATAATCTATACTTGACCATCCTGCTATAATATAGCTAAATTAAATGTTTTATTAAATCATTTTCTTTATGAGAAATAATGAAATTATTTTTCTTTCTAAGCTTTTAAGATATGTGCTTCTTTAGAAGCATTTGAAATGTATTAATTAGTTCCCTGGCTGTTCATAATTCCTACTCCTGAAATCTCTAATTAAAGATTCAATTAGCTATCAGATGTTAAACTTGTCGAAATATATTGCAGATTGAATAAAGACTGTTTTTACTTCATTTAAACATTTAGTTTTCATTAAACACATTTAGTTTTGTGGAGTTTTTTTCTATCTGATAAAATTTCGATGATTTCTTTCCCAAGCTCACTGTAACCTTAACTAAGTCACTTAGGTGGTTAATGTCTTGTTTTCCTGAAATCAGACAGTAGGCCTAGAAAATCTCTCAAGTTTTGTTAGGTACTAAACCTAAATTGTGCCTGGATTTCGTACAGTACAGTACTGAATCTGGTGCCCATTGTCCACCAGAGGGCACTTTGTAGCCTGCCTTCTATTGCAGTGACATAAAAAGCAAAGATAGGACTATATCTCTTTGTAAAATGTTTATACTGTACTTCATTGTTTTCCTTTGCTTTTCTTCATAATTTCATTTTGAATTTTTTCATTTTTCTTCTGCCACAGAATAGTCATATAAATTCAGCACAGAGATTATGAAAATCATAACTGACTTTCAATTACTTAAACTTTAACTTCTTTAGTCTTTTTTTATAACTGCATCGAGTTAGATGGTTATCATATTTTATAACAGTCCTGCCCATTGATTCAATTATTTTAACATTATTGTCATTTAATGTAGGATAGGCATTTATTTTCTTGCTGATACTATAAGTAAATAAACATATTGAAACAAATGAAAAATACATCAATTCAATACATAAAAATAACAGGCACTTTTTCTCTATTCATGAAAAATTTCTATAGTTAACCCATTAGAAACCCGTTATTTTTATACCTCTTGTATGCCCTGCATTGGCCATAGTGCCGACTTTTAGAGTATGGAATAGTGAGTATCTGAGGTAAGGATGAACCACCAGTTTTTCCACTCTATTCTCATATCATGCCATCTCTGATAAGACAAATCAATAATTCTTCAGCCTTTTAGGTCATTGTGTTCTGAACAGGCCTAGACAATTGCTCTTAAAAAGTACTGGATACTGAGGAAATCCCATCAGAAAGAATACAGAAGCATATCTTCTACTGTTTGTATGAGGGGAGCAAACGTATGTTTAGTGTTTAAATGTTAAAAAGATAGGAAAATAAAGCAATTAGAACTTTTTCCAAGTCATTAAGCTCTAAACAAAGCCACTATTCTAAAACATTCATATTTTACTAATAGGAACAACATGCCAGAATTCCACAAATTAAAAACAAAGTTGGTGAAGAAGAAAGGAACACGAGCATATGCCTGCCAGTGTAGCTGGAGAACTATTGAAGAACTGACTGACCTTCAGACTGATCATCAGCTACGTTGGGTTTGCGGCAAACATTAAGAATGCAGACTTTTCACATTCAGACAGATGCATCCATGAGAGTAGTCTCCATTAATCATAATATTTAGGAAAAGGTACATAGCAGTATCATGACCTTTGGAAAAAGACAGCAAATTTCATTTCATGACTATACCAATTTTTGAAGACCAAATGGACCTGAGAAGATAACGCGCTTTAACATTTTGGAATTATTCCTTTTTGATATATAGACATTTCCCTTTGTAAGGTAACAAGTTATCCAGATTCATCTTTACCAGCCCATCTCCTGTTGATTAGAAGTTTGAGTATGATGTTTCATAGAAACATATAGCCATTCGTTAGCAACTGCAGTATTACTGACTGCTAATATACTTTACATAAGCATTCTTCATTTATAGCTTTTAAAGGGGATAAACCTGGCCAGTCAGAGAGGTCTTTGAGGGGTGTATACATCACCTCCTCCAGTCAGAGCTGTTGTTGCCAAATATCATAATTTAAACATGGTAGAAACCATATAAGCAGTGACTAACTGAAGAGTTTTCAGGAGTATAGGTATATTGCAAATGACAACACTGCCTGTATCTGGTCTTACCTCACCACCTTAAAGCGATATTATGTACAATAATGATAAATACATATTGCAAGTTTTAGCTTATTTCTGCTTTTGTTCATTTAGATATCAAAAGTTACCCAGTTTGCAATTTTAGCAAATATTCATTTATATATAAAAAATTTTTGATGCACCTAGGAACAATCCTAATACAGATAGGTAATTATTAGATGTTCCAGTACTTTCTGGCCTTTAAGACCTAAAACTCCAGTCAAGTATCATGAACAACAAGTAAGATATTTTCTCAGGCAGCCTATTGATTTTTCTGGTAGGATCAGATCAACATATTATATGAGTGCATGAAAAAAGAAATAAAGCAAAGCTGAGCCAACCTGTTGAGCTCCTTGACATCACTGAGACTTGAGAAGCCCTATAATAACAGCACATTCAGGAAATCAGTTACTTCAACATTACCAGCTCACAGCCACCATCGAGAGATTCTGGGTTCTTTTCCAACTGCCAAAAGCTCTTCACCGTATGTGTCTAGTATGTAGTTCAGATGTGTGACATAAGGCATGCTGAAAAGGAGTAATCGAAGCAAAGTTAAGATCTGCTTAGTCTCTTGCTGAATTCATTGCATCCACCCTACTTAAGCAGAGAAAAAAAACCTGGTCATTAAAATCCTTTTCCTAGCCATGACACATTTGCACATATGTAAAACTGACTTTGGTAAGTCTGGCATTGCAACAGAACAAATCTCCTAGTGGCAGATGCTCACATTTTTTGTATTAAGAATATGTTTACAGATTTTATCTTTCAATAAAAATGTTTTAGCCCCTAAAATTTTATCTCAGTGTAGTTGTATCCAGAAACATAGGTGGATTTGGATTAAAGTCACCTATTACAAAAAGTAGTACAGCAACAAGATCCACACATTCAGAACTTGGCACATTAGTCATAATGGTGATGTTTTCTTTTTATTCTTATAAATTTACTAAATCATTAATTTGAAAAAATTTTTTTTTTCATTCATCATAGCTACCTAAAACTTGGATACATTGCCAATGTTTGGCATTCCATAACAGTAATTATAATAATTCCCCAATGTCAGAATGTTTGTATGAGTTCACATTTTTGTTGGCAATTTACTTTATAAGCTTTCTAATATTGTACAATTTTTAATCTAAAATATAGAATAAATATCATGTTTATATCCAAATGGATTATTATCAGTTATAATTTAAGCCAAAATGCAACTATTTTAGTATTAGTGCAGAAGAAAAGCAGTTTCTAATAAACTATAATTTTAAAGTATAAAATCTAAAATTTTCAAGATGTTTTATCTATTTGTTTTTAACATTTATAATAATTTTCTACTTTTAGCACTACCTGTTTTTTGCCAAGCTAGATAACTGCTTTATTTGAACTGTATTATACTTTCCAACCCTTATCCTACTTAGAAATGAATAACTAATAGCTTTACTCTGTATTTAGTTACTTTTATTGTATAGTAAAATATTCATATTGGGATTAATTTGAAATATTTTTTATAATTTATTTTAAAATATCAACAGAAGTTTCCAACCATCTAGTTGAATAGAGAATTTACTTATTTACATTGGGGTGGAGAAGCATGTCATAAGTTTGCGTGTGTGTGCACGCAGTGTGTGTGTACATGCATGTGTAGCACAATGTGGGTATTTAAAGGAGCAGGTCTGAGTGCCAGCAGAACAAGCTATGCTGATCTTGTATGTTGATGTCAGTAAGCTTAGCCGAAGTTCTTCTTGGGCCAAAGAAAATGGCATCAGACTATGATTTTAAATTGTTTTCCCTCTTCTTACTGATCCGATATTTAAAAATGTGAACCGAAGAGGTCTTTGTATTCAATAAGTACAGTGCTGCTTAGCAGTAACTTTCAAATGCTGCTTTTTCTCAATTGTTCTGTTTTAACAAAATCTCTATCAGCTAACATACCACCCCTAGTAACCAGCCTTGCATATTATTTAAAATAGTTCATGAATGGAAGAAAAAATTCAAAATATACAGTCTCTTTAGAGATTTAATATCTTATATGTATTTGGGGTTTTGATGCCATTTTGTGCCCTATTTTAAAAGATTACATGGGATATATAGATATACATGTGGTTAATAAATAAATTTGTTTTCAGACTTTCCCCAAATGCCTTGAGATAATGGGAGACAATATGAAGTGTTACAAAATCAGAGTTGACAGTCACATCCCTTAGGAAGTTACTTAACTTTTTCGGCTTCATTTGCCTCATCTATATGAATAATGGTGACGTCTCTTCTTGAGCTTGTTGTAAGATTAAATTATATAACATGAAAAGTGACTAGCATAGTGTTCAGAATATGTGCTTATATATGTTCTTATTTTTCCTTCTGAAAGTAGTGCTGTCTAAAGTAAAATTGTAGCATGTTTCTTATAGCAAAGCATTTCACCACATTTATTTTTTCGTTCCCTAAACTTCCTTAGAGAAAAGCAGCTATGCTATTGTTTTGATTTTATAACTAGTAAATGTAAACATGGCCAGCTTTATCTTTATATTAAAGTTGAAACTACAACTTTCAAAAACAACAAAACAAAAACTGGTTCACGCTAGCCTTTTCCTGTCTGATTTAAACCTAATCAATCATCATCAAGGCATTCTGGGCCTTTTACAGTATCTTTTCAGCTTCTGCCTATGCATCTCTCCTCTTCTAAGCAAACCTAAATGTGTTGGAATGTAGTCATTGTCTTCAGAAGGCATTTACAGGTACTCCAAATACTAGCAAGTGAGGCCTAAGGACTGACTCCTTCTTATCAAGTATCTATTCATCAGAACAATTTGTTATCAGGGAAGTGAAAAGAGACAGATAAGGAAGATTAGAATAGACTGTGGGTCCAGACATCAGTTTTGCTAGAGGTCCATACCAGAAGAGAGACAAGAAAGGTGGACCCATAAAATAGTTTCATTATTATTTATGGATGAGGAAACTGAGGCATGAGGAATTTGCCTAAAGTCACCAGGGTTGTAAATAGCAGAATGGGATTCAAACCTAAATCAACTCAACTCTGCAAGGGAAAGGAGAAGTTGCTTTCTGCAAGATGAGCTAGAGCTGCTCAGTTGAGTAACCCAGGGCTTTCACCCCGTATTCCCCAGTAGAACCCTGGTGGACTAATAAATACACCAGACTGAGAGAATATACAACCCCAGTTTTACCAAAATAATACTTTCAGATATTTTCAATGCCTTTTTTAGAAGAAGCACGATACAGTGCACAGGTGTAGCTAGGTTTCAGATTGCCTCTCAATGCTGATGGACAGGTGGTAGCTTCCAGGAAAAATATGAGAAGGAGACCAGGTTAGGCACAGCAGGAAGGAGTTCCACAATCTGTTAGTCAAGTCTGCCATGGGGTCGGGGATGAGGAATGAAAACGACTGTGAATTTGATGACCCTGGAACAAGGTTAGGACCTGGGTTCCTGTCTAGATCAGTGGTTTTCAACTCCAGCTTCAGATTGAGATACCTCGGAAGCTTTAAAAAGTGCCAGTGTTCAGGCCCAGGGGCCCAGAAATTCTGATTAATTTGTCTGCATTGAGGCCCAAGAATCAGTATTTTAAAAAAATTCTCCCAGTTATTCCACTGTGAAGCCATATGACCTTGGGCATGTCACATTCTTCCTTGGACTTTAGTATTCTCACCTGTTAAAAAAAAATTTTTTTGCCAAGAGCTTTCACTGCCAGTATAAAAATATGAAGTTTAATACTAAGTGATTTCTAATGTCCCTTTTAGGATTAAACTTGCATGAATCTCTTTTCATGACATAATCATTACAGAATAATTATATCATTTAGGGTTCAGAGTGTACTGTCATCAGTGTTTCTCTTAGTCCCTAGAAACAGCAAGGCATCAATATCAAGTTCAAGATTTGAGTTCCATAATAGCCTTTCACCTTACATGGAAAAGAATAACAACCTCCCAAATGTGGATAGTGCAAATTCTCCACTAGCAGAAGCATTTCAGAGCATGTGGCCTTCAGAAAGTGAGTCACTGGCACCATCTTTAATTGCAAAGAGCAACACTTATATCAAGTAGAAAGCAGTATTCTAAAAAGTAGATAGAAAAATTTTTCAGTTAATAGAGAAACTTTACATAACTTAGAAACCAATGTAAGTTCTTCTATTCGGGATTTTTAAAAATATCCAGAAGATGTATAAGAAAAATTACAAAAGATTTACTCTCAAAGAATATAATGCTTTATTTTTACATTTTTCTTGAGGGATGGAAGATTAAGAGATTTTCCAGTGGATTGAGGCATATCCCAGAAAATGCCTTCCAAGTCTCTTCTCTCTGGCTTTGATTTTCCTCTGCAGCTGACTATGCACTAAAGACCACTTAGGCTTTTTTCCACTCACTTTTTATGGAAGACCTTTAGGTATTTCATTACCAGCACAAATTTATTCTGAGCTATTCCAGGTCCAGTGATAAACCCAAGGAATGAGAAGGAAAAGATGTGTATAGCCCGACTTGTAAAGGCATAGGTGATGTGCGTACTCACAAAGCTCAACAAAGGAGCTCCGTGTTCCTTCTCCCCTTTGCCCTGTTAATGAGCTGTCTGTCATGGGTGAGCTTAGGAGCACAGGCTGGTGTTAGGCTGCCAGGATTTGAATCCTGACTCTACAACTTAAAAGAGGTGACGTTCTATAGGTCACGTCCTCCTAGAGCCTCTTCTTCCCCACCAGTGGAACAGAGATTATAAGAATGCTTACCTCACAGAATTGCTGGAGGAAGTGAATAGAATAATCCATGTAAAGCATTTAGCATGGTGCCTGGCAAGTGTGAATTCTTTTTGCTATGATCTCTGTCAATATAAAAATGCATACATTAAAGACAACTTTCTCGATAGGTTTCCTCTTCAGCATTCTTTCTATTTTGTCTTCAACATGTGTTAGTGCCGCCAAGCTTCCTCTTATAGCAGATGACCCAAAGTGATCCATTTAAAGGAAGCTTCAAAGCACAGGTGCTGGGTTGGGTTTGTGTCAGTAGGGCCCAAGGGCACTAGTCATCATCCAGGAGGATTGACTATTTCCTAAGGAGTTGTAATTATGGGTCTTTTATGTTAAGCATCTTTGATTCTGTTCAGTACCAAACATCAAAATACAAACATCTACAAGCAGAGCTGGTACATTTAGGTTATTTCACAACCTAGTGAAATTCAGCACTGAACAGACATCCCCTTTGCTCATCATTGATTATAATGTGGCTAAAATGGAAACTGCTAGCCTGTGTGTCAATACTTTTGCTAGAAACATACACTGCTTCCAGAAGGATGAAAGGAAAGCTTAAACTTCCCCTTTTATCATCTAAAATTATTATACTTCCAGGTCCGCTGTTGAATCATCAAGTCACATTCTGAGCCCAACTCTGGCCATCGCTGAGGCCTGAGGGACCCAGCAAAGGAAGGAGGTCCTGAAAAAGCCTTTACTTCCCCAATGTAGCTAGTTACATTGGGAAAAGAAGGGACATATTTGGCTCCAAGGGACTTGGGGATTTTAAGACCCATCATTCTGAGCCCTACATACTTGGTGAAACTAATAAATTAAGAATCTAGCCCATAGGGGGCAGGCGTGCACTGAGGACCCGATTTTGTTTATTTTTTTTCAATGGGCTTTTTGGTCTATTGGAAAAGCACCCAGAATGCTTCTCTAAAATATTATCCATTTTGTTTTTCATCAAAATCTGCCTGCTGTTGTTAACTATACCCCGCAGTAGTGGCATTAAATGTTTTTCTCTGGCTGAAAATAGAAATTCTCCCTAAACCAGCTGTCTTTATTTTTAGGAGAAAAGGACAGTCCCCAAACATGATCAGTCTTAACCCCAGAAGTTTATGCAGAAGCACTTGTCATTTCGAGCTTGTGGACCTACCCCAGGAAGGAAATTGGAAAATTTTAACTGATGCACAAAAATTGACTCCTTACGTACTTCAGGGGTCTAAAGTGAAAGAGGAGCAATGAAATGGTTCCTACAGCAAAAGATGGAAAATCAAAGTGACAGGCTTGCAGAGGTGACTGAAGAAATAAATCGTAAGGGTAAGCAAGTTTATGCTGACAGGCTTTCTGAGACCAGGAAACCATATCTTCAGGACCTTTGAGCATGATAGTTCAGCACAAATATTCCCTGAATGCAGTGATTTGGTTTTGTTTTTAAGGTGGTTTATTTTTTAACGTACAGAAAAGAAAATCAAAAACGTTATACTCTCATTTTTTTGTTCATTGAAATACAATATATAAAAAGGCAAAAATTCCTCCACTATCCCAAGAAGTAAACAGTGTTCATTTGGTGCTATTCCTTTTGGACTTCTGGATGGATGGATGGATGGATGGATGGATGGATGGATGGATAGATGGATGGATGGTAGAGATATTTACTGAAAATTTTTTCTTAATAAAGGCAAAAATCTGGTATATATTATTATACCATTTGCTTTTTTTTACCAAATAGTATATCATAGACATCTTTCCAAACCAGT